TTGTCGTATTTGTACGATAATTTTGACCCTCTGTACGCTGTACGATCAATAACCCAGAAAAAAAGGCAAAATGTACGATAACTTGACAGTTTCGTGAATGTGTGTTGCAGTGGGACTGTCTGCCAGACGCTTCATTTTTCAGTTTTTTATCTTTTACCACATGATGTTTCCATACAATCATAGTTTGAGTTCAGTTTGTCGACGAAGAACAAGCATGATTGGCTGTCAATCATGTTCAATCAGTTAAGAAACGTGAGCACCGCTGAGGAGGACGGTGATGAACGGGAGCGTAATCCTCGTGTGAGGACAAGGTGATTTTTGTGTCTAAAATAGATTTCACCAAGTGAAGTCAGATTACTCTTTATTTCCCTGTCAGTTATTGTGATACTGTTTCAAAAACAGTAGGTGGCCTCAAGGTCTCATGATTTGGCTCATTAGTTCCCACCTGTCATTTGTTTAAAGGGAACACATTAGTGAAACACAGCTGAGTTGTGGCTGCTGATCATACGCTGCTGATGTCAGGTGAGGACTAAACAGAGTGACTATCATGCAACAGTTGGATTGTTAATTTGATCATGACGGGTGTACGATAACTTTTCCAAAAATACAATAACTTTGAGTCTTGGTTACGATACTCTTATATTTCCCATCTGGAAACACTGGTGCAGAAAATAAAACAACCTAAGTGCAAAGAGTTGAGTATGAGCCTCCGTCTCAACCGTGAGTTCTCGTGATTCCCTCCGCCTGCATCCGCCACAAAATTTGTTGCACAAATGGATGTGGTAGGAATTTCGGATCGGAGCCGTTCCATATGTGGTGGAAATCCCGGGTTAAGGTGTTCTTAGTGGTCTTTAAATCGTGATTATGAAGTTTGTCACCAAAATCACGTTACCTGTGTCGGCTTTCCTTCTGCAGAGCTCCAGTAGCTCATTAGCAATTCACCTCTGAGTCGTGGGCGGAGACAGCGCTGCTCTGCACACTCCTTTTACCGCTAGCTTGCAGCCTAACATTGCCGATGTACTAGAAGTAGCAGGTAACATAGGAGTTATTCAGCTCTCTGACACTAATGTCTTTGGAGACATGATCAAAGCTTATATCATAGTTAGCTTTCTCACAAGCATTGCAGTCTGTAACGTACACGCTTGCATAGCAGAGCTCTGGGGGCGGAGCTTGGATTTGTGACATAGGAAATCTCACTTTTTCTGAACCTGCCATTTGGGTCTGTGAAAAGTTCAGTGATTTGAATGTAGAAATACTCAGAAATGCAATTTCACACTTACTTTTCTCATGATTTGTCCTGTAGCATCAGAAAAATGTCGTATAAACATGTAGACGAGAAGAAAAACATGATTTTCATCGGAGCTGGTCTTTAAACAGTACACTCTGGATCTTGTGGTTTGCTGTATTTTTTAACACACTGACAGAAACACACTATGCATGCTGTAATCATTTGCATGTTTCTGCAAAAAAATATAGAGAGCGCTAACTCCAGGGAAATATCATTTACAACCAGAAAAGTCATGCTTTAACTTACCTCGTCTAATTTAGTGGCTGAAATCCACCCCTTGTCATATTAATGCTATATGTACAGTTAATGGTCTATTTGTACAGCTTGAATTGTGTTTCAAAGTATTTCACCATCCCGACGTGTGTGCCCACAGAAAGCAAACTGCTGTATTAATCTTTACTGAATGTTACTGAATGAAACAAGCGTAGCTACTGTGTAAGTTTGAAGAAACTGACTCCGACCCTGTCTAGACTTGTCGATGCTGAAAATGATGCAACTGAAATGTAAGTTTTCACTCTTTTCTGTGAAAGCCAGGACCGTAAAATAGACGATTGAAGGCTGATATTTTACTGATGGTGTTGGGATCCCGTGTCGCTCCTATAAGCCAGGCTCTTTCAGATGTGCGCTTACCCATTTCCATGGTAATATGGCACGGAGGGAAAATTCCTCCCAGAGAAAAGGTCAGGCACTTGGGCTGATGACTACCATGAAAACTGCGAGTTAATTTTTATTCCAGCGCTAATGATCGTGGTGTAATGAAGTGTAAAAGAAGGCAGAGGAAGTGTCCAAAGAGGCTCATTAATTTTAGCTCAGACTTTCTGTATCAGACATCCAGTGTTTCACGTTTTGTGAAATATTCGCCTGCCTCACACAGCCTTGTTCTGTGTTTTATTGGTGCTGCCTCTGTAGATATATCTATCTGTCTATCTATCTATCTATCTATCTATCTATCTATCTATCTATCTATCTATCTATCTATCTATCTATCTATCTATCTGTCTGTCTGTCTGTCTGTCTGTCTGTCTGTCTGTCTGTCTGTCTGTCTGTCTGTCTGTCTGTCTTTCCTAAAGCACCAACACAATCGCCACAGAAGAAGACAAATTAAAGCTCCTATGAGGAGTTTTTTTTTTCTTTAGCTCGTAAGCTAACCTGTTCAGATACAACATACCATATTTTCACTGTCTCAAACTCAATCACAGCATTGCTGTCACAGCACCGTTAGGTCTCGGTTGTTATCTTACGTTTATGGATTATAGTCTAACTAACAGGGTCCTACCAGGTATGCAAAGTATGGAAAAATATGGAAGTAATTTGATGAATTTCCAGGACTTAAAAAGTACTGAAGATAAGAAACGTATGAAAAAATATTTATGTTTCCAGACTTTAACCACAGTTGTAAAATACTACTTTCTAAAATAGAAAAATACTGTATTTTCGGACTATAAGGCGCACTGAAAATCCTTACATTTTCTCAAAAATTGACAGTGCGCCTTATGTATGATCACTTGTTGTGCTTACAGTATGTTATGCGGTACAATGCGCTCAAAAATCTGTCAAAATGTGTAAGTAAGACTTTGGTAAGGAACGAATCCGCTCCGCTCAATGGATATTCGAAACATTACAGTACACTGTGTCACTACCTGATCGGCCCTGTAACAGGACCCCTGAGCAGTCTGCAAGACTGCCTGACTGTAATTTCTAAATGAGAAGTGCAGTGAGAAGTACACACTAGCAACAATAATTCACAGAGCGTCGTATAATCCGGTGTGCCTTAATAAACATATGGTAGGTATTTCCAAAAATAATTCTAAAAAGTAGGGTATGGAAATTCCAACTGTGTCGGAAACCTGAACATACGACTGAAATCCATTAAAATGCTTTTTTACCATATCCAAAAGTTTTCGTAGATGTCAGCCAAGCAGCGGAAGAAACTGATCCGTTTTTACTATTTCTACAAAAATATTCCAATAAAATGACACATTTGACGATTAAAATTCAGCAGAGTGAGATTTCTGCTTATAAAAATGCTAAAAAGTAGTGACCAGCTGTAGAAACTTTCTTGCACGGACTGACAACACCTGTAACTCCAAGTGTCGTTGTCGTGACCCGGGAATGCACCCTGTCACAGTGAACGTGGAGGGACACCCAAATTAGTCCCAGTGGGATTCAGCACCACCTGAAGCCTCTGCTCAACACCTGCCTGTGGCCTGTAACCCCTCACTGCCACATTACATCTCTCCTAAATTACTCTCCAATCATATCTAATGTCTTTCTGGGAAAGCACCCGCCAAATGGTGCACAAGAAAATGGTTATGCTTTTTTTTTCCCACCGGGCATGAATAAGCATGTAAGAGGATTTCTGAAAATATGATTTGTTGACTCACTAAGAGGTTATCCATCATGCTTAAATCCTTCTGATGTAACACTACTTTTCATTTTTCACCCTAACTGCCTCTTCATTTTCGATCCAAAAAAGATTTGACCACCAGATCCCCAGAGAGGAGTCGAACATGATGAAAACACCGATGACACTCATGTGAACATATCTGTTAGACATGTAAAAGAAAAAACTCATCTCCTAAATTGAAAAGTTTTATTTGAAATATCGTTCCTTATAGTCTTCATGAAGTCTCGACCTAAAAGTAAAAACACAGTTAATATTCAGACAGTGACAGCGTGGAAATGTTCGACTACAGAAGTACTGAGGAGCTTCTCTGCACACTGAAATCGACTCCACATACCTTTAAGAATCAAACAAAAGGAGGACAGGGGAATGTGGGTCACGGTGGGCTCCAGGGGGCTGGCAAACCTCCTCCTGGTTTCTGTGACATGTATCTAGGCCGACTGGGGTTTCGTGGCGGAGCTCAAAGTCACCTCCTGTCTGAGCTGATAACAATCAATTCCTGTTTGTAAAGATGTGAGGGCGGAGGAGTAACCTGGGCCGGTTCAGCAGGAAAGAACATTTATGCAGGACGACCGTGAAATCAATTTGACGTGTGTCTGCTCCGAGGAGGTGTCAATATTTATCAGCTGATCCAGATCTGAGCTCTGAAGTCTCAATTTTTGGCAGCTATTCAGTCGGATAGGTTGGATAATTTTGATCCGATTATTTTCAGGCTCAGTTGACATGAACGTTTGGGTGTCGTGTAGGTGTCCGACAAAAGAAAATGTCTTTTTTTTTAGATTGAAGTTAATTTATATCGAACCACGGTGCCGCCACTTCTACCATCTCACAATTTGCAGGTGCCCTTCTCCGGCCTCGTCATTTAAAACCCTCCAAAAATTTACACTGTCGTCCAGTCAAGGGCGTTACATGACACGCACTCGTCTGCTTTTATCGGATAGTGATGTGAACTTAACGTGAACTCGTAAATCTCAGCAGAGTTGGATAAATCGGGAAATTCAAGCTAAAGGAAGTTGACGGCGATGTCAGCTTGACTCAGACATGACGGACACGCCAACAGCTGGCCCAGAATTGAAGTCATGAAGCCCATTCCAAAACCAAACCAGTCAAACACAGACGAAAATATGAAGATAAACTTTTTAGAGCAGCATTAAATCCAGTTAATTTAATTCATCACAGACCTTTATCTTACCTAAGAACAAACTGTGTCTGTGATGTGACTCTAACCACGTGTTTTTATTTCAGTGATATTTCAAAACTTTAAAGCTCCAGTCAGAGGTTTTTTGACATATATGAAATTCACTAAAATTTATATTGCGGCCTTTTTATTATAACTGAAAGCAGACAAAACCATCAGCAACAAGATTGATCATTTTAACATCCCGATTTTTAATGCCTGAAAACTGTGGGAGGGGGTAGGTGTCGGCTGAGCAGCAGCAAAAACAGCAGATTTTACAATAACTATGTAAAATACTCACAATAAATGATACAGTCGACTGTGAAAACTCAGCAGGGTGAGATTTTATTGTCAAGGGTCACAAGTGAAACAAGTAGAGGAGATGAGGAAAGACTGCTTTGTCCACACGGGGGCGCCAAATTTGGTCCGTCTCAGCTATCTTTATAAATGTCTGAATCCAGTGTTTCCACAAAACTAACAGCTGTAGTTAAATAAAAGATTATTTTAACGTTTCGAGAATAACAGTTTCTTTATCTTAAAATGAAATGACAGTTTTATTAAATTTAATAATCATGTGTGAAATAGAAGCATCTGATTAAAGGTGCGAGGGCTGCATCCCCTTGCGGCATCCCCTATTGGTGCACTGACACCAAAGTTGTCCTGATAGTAAATAAGGGTCAGCTGATCTCAGATACAGCCTCTAATTGGTCAATAGACTTAAAGATGGTGGCATAGTCCAGCATAGTCACAAATTACCTCTGCGCGATAGAAAAGTGGATGTGGCAGAAACATAGAGCCAGAACTCTGGGATCTCAGTGGATTTTATAATAAGTGGCTTCATTATTTATTCTATTTTTAGAGCTGATATTGTCAACACGACGATATTCTAACCTCAAAGGGTTCAATTGCTATCCCTGAATAGGACATAAGCTTATTTTTAAAATGTGTTTCCGGAGAAAAACTCATAAAATCCAGTCAGTTCTGTATATAAATTCATCCCCACTGATTTGGGCGGACATACTCTTGCCACTGCTAACCTTATCCTGACAAATCCAATTTCTGCATGACTAAATATTATAATATTAGGACACAGATTATTTTTTTATACTTTGAGTGACTTTTATAATGGTTTTCCACCAAATCTTAACGCGAGGATCTACATTTTCCCACTGCTTATAACACTACAGCATGCATGTCTTTATCTTACCCTGTATTGTTTCCTGTGCTCTTTAGGAAGGAACTTTTACAGGTACAAAGTTGATTCAAACATTTAATGGGAATGTAGCAGACACAGTTTCATCTGCACAGCCTAGAAGGTCAGATATTTTCACACACAACAGAAACATTTGGACAATGATGGGCTACACAGCACAGACACAGATGGTTAAAAATAACAGGGGTTACTTTGATGGCAGTATTCACAATATACAGACTGCATAATAACCATCAGTGCCACCGGCGGTTTATCAAATTATGTGTGAATATTCCTCCCAGTGTAATTCAAAACACCACCCACATATATATGATCCTTGTGATCTCTGCAGTAACAATTTCCCTCATTAACAGGGACATCTCCATATGAACGCTTCATATAAAAAACACAAGACATAATTGAAATTCAGCCTACAAAACGACAGCATTTTCTGCATCAGACACCCAAACACCCACCCCAAGAGAGCTACCTACTTTACAATAATTACACTTAACTAATCCTCTTCAAATGGATTTGTCCATTGCGTACTAACAGTGAAAAACGTCACGGGTTCGGACTTCATAAAGCTGGAATGTGCAAAACTACCCCTGCTATGCCATTTGAGCAGGGTCTGTGAGGGTCTGACCCACTGTCCTACTTCCATTCTTGAGGATCCCCTCTGTGGTAACATGACCCAAGTTCGATGCTGGTGGTTTTGGGCTACCGGTATCAGTCAAGTCCTCAGTCTGAGGCTCCAGGAACGCAACCCTCTTTCCGTTGGTGCGCCGATCTGACTCCACCTCTCTTGGATCAGAACACAGGATGATGGCCCGTCCACCACACCTTCTTGCTCCACCACCTCGGTTGTCCCGGCATCGACAGGGAGTGAGGTAGAGGTAGAGCAGCACGAGGACAATGCTGATCACACAGGAAGCCAGGGTGGTGAACGCTGTGTTGAAGTGCTCCGCACCACTTCGGTGCGTAAAGCCTCTGGAGGGGGTAACGCTCGAGTTCCCAACCACCACACCGATTTCTGGATACTCAGTGGGTTGGTAGTCGCGTCCCCGCACTGCAACACACCCAAATATACCAGAGTCTTCCATCGATGCTCCCTGAATTTCAAGGGTGCCATTGGGGAAAACTTTTAAGCGAGAATTTGGATCACTGGTTGAAGAATTCACCACAGTTCTTGGGGTGACCCAGAACACCACCTGCCCTTCCTGAACTGGCGAAGCGAACCCTGGACATGGCACCCGTAACCATTTTCCTGGCTCTACTTGATAAGTCTTTTCCTCAAAGGGCAAATTGGACACCACCTGCTGGATACATTTAGACCCTTGTCCCACATTGTCTCTGCATGGAAATTCACTCCTGTAGTCCACCATGGGGCGGTACTGCTTCCACATCCAGTACTCCATCAAGGCTAGCAAAGCGCAATCACACAGCAAAGGATTTTCCTGCAAATAAATTCCGCTTTTCTGGCTGAGAGACAGCAGGCTCTGAACGGGAACCTTCGAGAGCCTGTTGTTTGAAAGATCCAGAAAGGTCAGGTTACGAGGTCCTTCAGGTTCCTGCCAAAGACTAAAAGGGAAATCCTCCAATCTGTTCCCAGAGAAGTAGAGCCTTTTTAGGCTGTAGAGGTTGCTGAAGGCCCCTGGGTTAATCTGGGTGATCTGGTTGCCAAACAGCAGCAGTTCTTTCAGTTCCTTCAGCCCAGTGAAGATGGACGAGTTCAGGACTGTAAGTCTGTTTAAGGAGAGGTCCAGCTGGAGAAGATGTGGCGTCACAACAAAAGCGTTGACTTCTATTTGGTTTATGTAGTTCCTGTTGAGAATCAGGGTAGCAAGCCCGTCAAACGGTTGGGAAATCCAGTCGACAGGCAGGGCAGTGAGGGCATTGTGGCTCAGGTCCAACCGTGTGGCATAGCTTGGGAGGTCAAAGTGCGGCACGGACAGATTGCGACCACTGCAGGAAATGATATCACTGGCACACAGGCAGTACAGAGGGCAAGCCGCCACAAAAGACGGGAAGCCAAGACACAGAGAGAGCAGAAGTGTGGAGGTGGGGTTCCAACGTCTGCCCCCTCCCGTCCTGCCTGAAAGGTGTAACACAGTGGGATGCATCCTGGTGTTCCCACAGGACGGGATCTCAGGTTACCGTCTCGCTGGGTGTAAACATGTCAGGTTTACTGACCTCTCAAAGGCGGAGACTTCTAATTAACTGAATGGAAGCAGAGAAACAGAGGAAACAAGAAGGACATCTAAATTAATTCATCAAACATGCCTTTAAATCTGTGATCAGGTTATCGTTAAAATCAAACATCATTTCTAAACAAGACAGGCAGCAAATCAAAAAAGTAAGAAAACGCAGCGGAGCTATTTTAAAAGTGTGGTGCAGATTAAATCCTTACATGCATGCCACTAAAAATAAACCATAATCCACATTCAAATACAACAGTGATGGCTGCAGCGTCATCCGTGCACAACAACTGCTACAGAAACCAAACAAGTGAAACTTAATCCGAACATGTCTGTAATCCATACTCCAACAAATCTGATCCTGGTGGATGTCTTACAGCTTTGACTCCCAACACCATCCTTTTCTGATCTTGATTTTTTTTTCTTGAAGTTTTTACCTTATAATCTGTTTATTTTTCAACAGCAGTGATTTATAACTATGTTGGCCATCCAATACGTTGTATTTCTCCATCACCACAGTTAAAACATTTGCACTAAACTGCAAGGACGAACTAAGATAATGTATTTTAATGATCAGTTATTTCTTTCATACTGATAATCCTGCCGTGTCAGTTGTTGGATGGAGGCCTGGACACTGTGGCTGCTCTTACACAGTCAGTACATTGAGTTTATCTGACTGAAACTGAACTATTAAAAGACATATATTCAGATTTCTCATAGCTGGACTAACATACCTTGCATTTTGGGATTTTTTTATTTTGTCCTGCTTGTTTTTGTCTCAATTAAACTGAAACTGGACTGAGCTTTCTGCACATACTCTACAGTTTGCACGTCAGACTTTGACCTGATGATTCAACAGCCTAAACGCACCGTACGAACCTAGAGTAAACAAAACCTCAACAGAAGAAGAAGAAGAAGAGATGTAAAAGAAGACGAAACTGTCGCATGATAGGCACAGAGCTGTTATCCCTGTATACAACCCGTTAACCTCTTACGAGGCAGTTTGTTGATTGTTTTGGCACATGAGGTCGTCGGTCGACCGAGACAGGGACAGTCTAATGAACTTAAAAGGGTCATTTTCGCCACCTAGAAGTGGATATACTCTGTCAACAAGCCAATTCTCACCCGTGCTTGTAGACTGACGTGATAGGAGTTCAGTTGAATCCTGTAACTGAGCTTTAACCTACAGTCTGGTTTAATTATACATGTTAACATACTGACTGTTTTGGTGGCGCTCAGTCTTTCATCACACTGACTGTTGCTGTTTGTGAAGTGGTGACAATCAGGCTGTTGCCCAGTCTGTTAATATGGTTAAATAGATGTATCTGTTTAGTCAAAGTAATAATACGCTGATGAGCGATGGACCCTGACAGTCTATTTTTACAGCTTTACCAAATCTCTCCAAGTTCAGTGAAGTCATTTAGGAGCAGGCATGGTACTCGGGTTATGGTTTAGGGTACTAGCTCCCCGGTAATCAGGTGCTCTCTCTTCAAAAACACCTCAAAACTGAATCAACACCTTCATGTGTTTCCATGCACAGTAAAGTTACAGCTCCATTAGGTGATTTAATCTGAATCATTGTCTACTAGCGCTTGATGAGAATTGATTTATTGGCAAAAATCTGCTCGTTACTACTGAGGAGTCTCCTGGTCGATCTACATAGCAAAACAATCAACAAACATATAAATATTAAACTAACAGGATGCACTTAAACTTAACAGATCTGTCATTTTTTTCTGTCGAGGTTTTGTTTACAACACAGCTTCCTAGTTGTGCATTCAGCTGCCCGACGTCTGGGTCAAAGTCTGGCACACTTAGTCCAGTCTCAGTCCGATGGAGGCGTGTGTACTGAATATCGATCTAGGGATGTTAGTCTGATTATCAAGTCTAGTTTAGTGCGATTTTAGTCAGACCAAGTCAACAACTTAGCTGTGTGATCAGAACAAAAGGGGTCCGTAGGTTTGTATGTAAGAGAAACATGTTTTTGTCTCACATTGAAATACCCAAATATCAGAATATCAGTTTTCCCAAACAATACGCAGCCCTACAACCTCTTCTCATTCATATTTCACAGGGTATATGAGGCAAAGTTACATATTTTTATTAATAACATCCTCAATTTTAAGAGGTCACTTCATTTATGTGACGTATTGTCTCTAAAAGTGCTCAGAAGTTAATCTAAAAACCACAGATTAAACACATTCATCATCTTCACCTCTGGATCAGTCATTTAACAGAACAATATCTGTTTTAATCTCTACATGAGTAAGAAAGTTCGAGCAAGATACCCCCAAAATGTGGTTTCCCTCCTTTTTTCTTGCTAAGTTTCTTCGTTATGATACATTTGATTAAAACTTGGGTTTTTAAATGAGCCCTTTTCATAAAACTGAAGATAATGGTTAGAGACTCATGAAGAACCTGCCAGGTCCAGTTTCAATTAGACCAACTTTATTTACTGTTAAAAAAAAAAGAAGACTTAAATTCATAAGGTGAGGGAAGAAAAACGTAAAAATATCTGTTTTTTATTCAAGTCTTAGAGTAAAATGTCCTGAACTGATTCTGTTAACCAACACCAACAACTCGGTGTTATTAGCGTTCTTCTGCTGTACCCACTCTCTTCTATTTCTACACATTAGCAGCACTTGTAAAGCAGCTTTTCATTATTTTAAGTGCAGCAAAACAAAACCTACATTATATAGCCGACAGCTCACCTTGACGCCCACACCGCTGCCTCTTCAAACCAGCAGCTCGTCTGCCTTCAGCCTCACATCCAGACGCGCTCTCCGGACGCGATGCAGGACCGCGTCCCGCACGGTCATCCAAATATCCTCCAGACAACTTAAAGCGCTTTTTTTGGAGTTCCTCTTCTGTCCTCCTGACCGAGGTTCTCCTCCCGAGAGTCAGAGAGAAAAGGAGGAAGCGGCAGCTGAACTGCTCACCTGCAGGTCGGGTTGCATGCAGCGGTGGGAGGGGTCGCCAGGAGAATTAAAAGGGAACACAACAGCAGCAGCGGATCATATGAGAGCAGATGATGCCAAAAGGAGGAGAAAAGACGATGAGAAAAGGAGGAGGGCGTGGTGGGAGAGGGTGCAGCGTCAGCAGCAGAAACTCTAATGCAGAGAGCGGAATGTTTCAGAGCTTTTTGTGCTTCCACGGGTGGATTTATTTCACTCTCTCTCTCTCTCTCTGTGCGACGTTCAATAAAATTAAGTTCAAAACTGAAGAACGAAATCTCAGCTCTCCCGCAGATCACCGTGAAAACGTAGAAAATAGCTGTTGCACAATTTGAAATCTGCTTCGTAGTTAAAGAGGAAATGACAAAACTGAATACCAACTACAGAGCAGATTAAAGCCGCACTGGGTAACTTCTTTGTCTCTACTAACTGCATGTAAATTCGAAGGGATATTTCCAGTTAAAGGGATATTTCAGCATAGGGTCAAACACACGTAACACAGAGTTAGACGACCCCTCAAGAGATAAATGTTGCCCGCCGCTTTCCACCAAACATTGGAGTATCAAGTCAGTATTGGGTAGGTCCCAAACACCACATCTAGACGTCTTTTTTTAGACGACGCTCTGATGTTTAGAATTTGGACTTCATCTGAAGACCAAATTTAGATGTCGGCACAACGTGCAAAATGGATCCAAGATTTAGATGTCATTATTGGACCTCTTTTAGACGTTGAAATGACATCCACATTTGTACCTCATCGTCGAAAAATACATTAAATAGATGTAATTTCGACGTTGCATCGCGCAGTGGGTTGCTTCTCTAGTTAAACCAACTTTAGTAACAACCGCAGATAGCAACACACAGCGGTCTGAGGAGCCTTCAACCTCAACCAAAACGCCACTCTATAGCCACTAATAATGCTCAGAACAGCACCTAACTTCATCAACAGGACATACAGGGTCACAGCCATAGTACTAGACACCAAACATCTTTTTAACTTTGACTAATTTCTTTAGCAAAGAGACTAAACACAACTCACCTACTCTCTTCCAGCAGCCGCTTGTTTGTAGCGAGACCCCAGGTCAGTCAATTATAGACTACAGTGGGGGTGACGCAGCTCAAGGAAGAACATTTATGATCATTTCTTCATGGAAATGAAATCAGACCGAGACGCTAAGGAAGAAGAACTACAGTGTCTGCAGTGAAAAATGTTTAATATGGTGATTATTACTTCAAGGAAATAATAAAGTAATGAACATCAATGTTCTTCCTTGAGCTGCGGCACCCCGCTGTAGTCTGTAATGGACTGGCCTGAGGTCTCCCTACAAACAAGTGGCTGCTGGAAGAGAGTAGATGAGTTGTGTTTAGTCTCTTTGCTAAAGAAATTAGTCAAAGTTAAAAAGATGTTTGGTGTCTAGTACTATGGCTGTGACCCTATATGTCCTGTTGATGAAGTTAGGTGCTGTTCTGAGCATTATTTGTGGCTATAGAGTGGTGTTTTTTTTTTGAGCGCATGGCTCTCTGTATTGCTATCGTGCGGTTGTTACTGAAGTTGGTATAACTAGATAGTCTATGCTTCGAAAATAGCCTAAAATTTACATTGAAGACAATTTTTATATTGCTATTCTGAATGCCTGAAATCTTTGCGAGAGGGTTGGCGTCACCTGAGCAACTGCAGAGTCTTTTTTAGAGTCCTATTAACAGTTAACGTGCATTTTACAGTCAAAAGTCATCAGCAGACACTACTTGAGCAAGTAGAGAGCAAAACAAGCAAAGACTGCTTTGTCCACAGGGGGCGCCAAAATAAGCACAAGCCAAAAGTCTCTCACAGGAGCTTTAAATAAAAAGAATTATGTCTGTAGGTTGTTGGATTTTTTTATTAAGTTTAATTTTCTACTCCTACAATTTGCAACATGGCAGACCTTAAACATGTTGTAAAATCTCATTTGCAGCTCTGCAGAAAGCCACGCTAGCCCCCTTTAAATTTTTGCATGAGGTGTTCGCTTTGTAAAAATAGTTCTAGCTGTTCACTCTGAGATTTATGGTAGTTTATTCAGCACGGTATCTCTGGATACCATCTGACACCCTTAAGTCCTTCAATTGGTTCTGGATGACCAGCCTGTCGGAGACGTGCGCTCATTTATGTGCAGTGCATGTCTATTTGAATGATTTGGATATGTTACTCACCAGCTGAGGACTCACAAACCCCTGCAGAGAGAGCCAGGCCTGTCTATAATATACTACAGCCCTGTGCTGCTAATGGTGGCTCAGCAGGAACAATTCGACTCAATTAGAGATAACATCTCTGCAATTAAACATCTGAGACCTTGACGATGTCTTTTCTATTTTCTTCCACAGAGCCACGGCGGCACTGTTGCTGGGCTGCACAGGGTTTTTGACGGTCTTCACTTGGCTGAAAACAAGTAAACAGACACTGCCTCAGCTCTGGAAACTCTCGTGCTGCTTATTTTACTGTAAAAGACGTGCAGCGTTTCAGGATTTGCTTACTAAAGCAGAATATTCCAGCCTGTGTTAAGCTGTGCACAGAGTTTACATAATCCCCCCTCTCATTTTTTAAACCACTTTTTAGCTGCACTTAGACGGAGAGCACGGTTCAGACCGCCTCCTTATTCTGGTAATGTGGCCTCATGTGTTACTACTTAGAATCACATCAAACTTGATCTTTTAAAGTGCTTACTATTTGTGTTTGGGTGCCTGTTTATTCCAGCGTGTGCGTCTGTTTGCTACAAGCAGATGGCTCCTTTCAAATCACATGAAAGTATTTTTCCACCTAATCAGTTTGCCAAGGTTGTTAGCTGCGAGATTGAAGTGCTGCCAGTTGGTTTTTCTTCTCATCCGTTCGCTTTTTTCTTCAGTCTTGTAGATCCTCTCTAACACACATAGACACACGCGCACACACACACACAAAGAGCTGGGTCAATATCTGCCACAAAGAGAAAAGGAAAAATCAATTTAATTTTCATTCTTAAAGACGCGTCAAATCCCTCAGCTGTAAGAGAACTGAGGATGAGGGCGTTTAATTTATAATCCTGACTTCAGTCTAATCACAGTGCTCTGGTAATTATGAGGTTTCCTCCCAGGATACTGTGACGAACAAATCTCTAGATGTTTCCATGGCGGCGACCATCACATCAAAAGGCCTCTGGGGAATTCACAATGTCCATCTTTTGTCCAGGTTCATGTAAAGAACAGACGGATGGATGGATCTACGTTTTTCAGATACCTTCTTCCTTCACGATAACATCCTGCTCTCAATAACAGGAATGAGGTTCGTGTAGTGAAGGATAATTAGACCCATGTAGAATGCACAGAGCACCTCAGTCCTTCACCTCGGTAGAATCACGCGGCTCAGGGCCTTCACTCTCAGGAGCCACTTGTGTGTGCCGGTCCTACCTGCCAGTAAAAGGCGTGTAATTGCATCTGTTTAACACCCCGACTGTAAAATAGTCACGTAATATACGGGTTGAATGAACTCCAGATGGCTGTAACTCTTGAAAAACAAAAACAACCTGGTTAGATTTCTATTTCCCGGCTGAAAATGTATATGAACAATATCTTTTAAATCTAATAGGTGATGTGAGAGGTTCAGTTTCACTTTTATATTATTCTGTGTGATGGGTTAGCCACGCTCAAATGGATAATGGTTAGCCTTGGCTGCAGATAACATTGGACTCCATTCAGTCACAGCATGCTGCTTTTCCCTTTTACTTCTAACAAGTGAGTGAAAAATACAATCCAACATAATAACAGAACTTTACTGATCCCTAAAGGTAAAGGCACAAGACGCAGAATCCGGACAGTATCAATGTGTGTCCAAATTTAACACCAGAATAATCCAATCTTGACACTTGGGGTCCTTTCACTCCGGGTCCGTTTTTGTCGTGCGATTATTTCGGACGTCAATATTTTTTTTAGAACCCGCATCCTCTCAATACAAGCGTTCACATCAGCAACGTTTTCCCGTCCTGCGATTTTGTGGCATTTATTTTTTCAGATCACGTTTCACATACTGTGTGTCCACGTCTGACCAATCAGATTGCGTGTTGTTGCAACGTTAGATTCACCGGTATATCCAACATGGCCGACCGGCTGATTGTTTACGTGTCGGAGAACAGAGTGAATTTTGATAGAAGACACAAATATTACAAAGATAACGACCTGAAGGACAACTTGTGGAGAGTCATAGCGTCGGATTTCTCATATGACGATGGTTTGTGTGCTTTAACAGTTTGATAAACGTCTTTGTTTGAACTTTCAGCTGTGCTAACGTAAGCTAACGGTTGTTACCATAGTTTCATGTGCTTAGCTTATCGCCTCTGATTGGCTATAAGTGCTGAAGGGACCTTTACTGTCCAGAAAAAAAACAGTTGTGTTATACTGCGCACTAATAAATAAAGCAACCTCTGAGGGCCACACTATAAAGGTTCAGCTTCAACACATCAACACACACAACATACATAAAAATTAGGTCTGGGACTCGATTAAAACGATCTAATCAATCAGAGGCTTTGTAATTAATTAATCTCATTTTAATTGCATATAAATATTTGATCTGAGAACAGTGAGAATCATTTTTTTAATGGTATATGAATGAATCAATGAATAATGAACTTAAGCAAACAAAACCTTTATTTTCTTTTCTAGGTGATACTTCACCAAGACCAACAGATCGGTCCTTTTTAATGCCATGAAGTGCCGCAATTTTAGGAATGAACAATACAGAATTGATTTCATTGGTTTGTTGTTGTTTTGTTATTTTCACTGTGGTGATTATTTTTATTGCTATTGTTATTATGATGATGATTAATATTATTTTATAATATTATGATATATATTTAATTATATTTAAAACTATTTTTATTAGTTTTATACAGAATTTTTTTTATCAGATATGTTCAAAAAACTTCAATCAATCGATTTCAGAGATTCAGGTAGCCTCTAAAGGACCAGTGAACCAGAGAGTTTGATAATTCTTCTGATGTGAACTTACTCATCTTAGCTCTGAATCCACTTATCTGGTCGAGTGTGGGGTTGGGTGTGGGTCGCTGTGCTCAGAGTCAGACTAACGTTAGCTTCCAAGCTAGCTGCAACATGTTTAGAGTTCAGGTGATACCAAAGGCTTGACGTGCTGACATGCAAATA